GGGTCACGCTTCGGCCGTGAGAGCAGCTAGCCATGGAAAAAGCCACCGAAAGGCCGGTTTCTCCTTTTTTTTTAATTTAATAAGGCCCTCAGGCCACCCCAGCACCGGGAGGCCCCAAACCACCCCACGAGCAGCCACAGAAAGCTGCAGCGAGCTCCTCGGCTCTCTACATCTCGGAGAGGAACGCGTAGAAAACAGACACGCGCGGCCGGAGGGCATCGCCGCGGTCCTCCGCGAGCGGGAATCAAGTCTCGCTTCCTCCGACGTGGCAACCCGACTGGAGAAAACGCATCTCGCTCGGCCAAGGGGCCGCCCGAAGCGAAGCCGACGTCCTCCTCCCCGCGGCCATGGAGCACCTGCGTTAACTCCACCAGCCCCACAACCAGCCAGCCCCAAAACTGCCCAAACGCGGGCAACTCCAAGTTACCGTGCAAAGCAACTCTCTCCCGCTGTTTCAGCAGGTTTCCCTCCTTTCGGGGCACCCGCCGAGCGCTGTCAGAGAGCGGTTTCACTCGAGCACATCGGGGGAGAGAGATTTTCCTCGTTGGCGCTGCAAGTTGGCGACTCGCCGAGCATCGAAGATCGCTACCAGCATGCAGAGCCCAACGTGCTTTCCCTCCACGTCTCCGGACAAGGAGGTTCGCCCGGCAGGCTTCAGGCATCTGGGGAATTTGCCATCTAGTCAAGAACGGGCTCAGGAGGGTCTCAAGTAGCTTCCCCAGATACGCTGCAAACCACGGAAGAAGCTACTCCGCACAGCAAGTCATACAGCAGGAACGCGTCCTCCACCCCGATTTTGGCGTAGCGTCCAAGGGACACCGGGGAACCGTATCCACGCCACTGAGACCGCCGGGTCACGTAATGCAAGAGCGCATCAGCAGCGGGCGTTGCAACGGGTGACTGCTGGGAGCTGCAAAGAGAGCAGATGAGCCGGCGCGCTGGATGCCAGAGCTGCGATGGCCATCGCTGCTCAGCGGGCCGACGCTTGGAGACGTGCAATGAAACCTCGGTCCAAGCGGCGTCTTGACACCGTTGCTAAAAAGAGGAAAACTCCCAAGTGCCACCCTCGTCTCTCCGTTTCCCTCGTGGTGGCCCCGCACGAGTCCAGCAGACGAGTGAAAACCGGCTGGCAGATGCAGAGCTGGCAGCCAGACGCGACCTCAGCAGCAAAGCCCTTGTGGGACCCACTGACTACAAAGGTGCACCAGATCTCCGCCTGCTGCAAAAACTCTGTGCGGAGGAGAGGGACAGATCTCAGGGCTTTTGGTTCACCAAAACAGCCCTTTTGTCCAACCCTGAGCGCTCGCTCTCACCTAGGCATCTTCTGCTTTGCGCTACCTGTTCTGCTACGTCTGAGGAGGCAACGCTTCCCCAGCGATTCTTCACTGGTGAAACGACCGTGACCTTAACTTCTCCTACCAAATTTCATCTTTAAAGACAAGTGATGTCATGGCGTCAGAACAGGAGGGGAACCTAGAAATCCTGGAAGTTAAACCTCTAAATCCCATCTCTTCTCCTATCTCAGTTTTCCCACCTGTGAAATGGATGGCTTGGCTGAGACGTGCTTCAAGCTATGTTTCTTCAAAGGAAAACAAAAGAAAATAACATACAAAGACACCGCTTTGCTGTAGGGTCTGTTACAAAACTTTGCAAGGCGCTTACAAGATGTGACCTGCCACAGAAGTATTTTTTCTTTTTCCAAAAACACAGTAAATTGCAAAATTTTTGCATCATTTAAGCAATTAAAGAATTGTTGCTATTTCTGAAAGAAAAAAAAAATAATTCCAAACATCTTCCCAAGCTGTTTTATCATTTAAAATCCTTCTGTCTGAACCGAGGGCACCGAGGAGCCACGGGTTTTGCAGGAATTTATGGAAACAGCACCCTGCTTTCGGCTGACCCATCAGGGAGACGGGAAACAGCTCTGCCGGCACCTCTTCACCGCGGTGGGCACTGCAGCAAGCGCAGCTGACAACGGGTCC